TGTGTGTGTGTGTGTGTGTTTGAACTTTAAGTAAGTTAAAAACAACGTTGAATCTTAAATTAATTCTCAGGCCTTCAATTGTTTCCCTTTCCCCTTTTAAATTACCAAGACAAACCTTAAGGTTTTTTATATGAATTTAAATAAAAAAAAAAGTAAATGACAAAATGAAGAATTCTCCTTAGACTCTCTGATGAGGATAAGATTTTATTTTATTGTGATGAAATTGAATAAACTGATATTAATCTGGAAACCTATTACAGTATGTTTTCTTTATATATTTAATATGTTTTTCCTATATATCTTGTATATGTTTTTCTTATGTTTTCGATCCTCTCACGGCGCGGTCCCGGGATGCAATTTTTACAACGCAAACGCATTAAAATTCACTATACGATCACTAAAAGTTTGGTAATTAGCAAATTCTTAAGAGTTTAGTTTCCTCCCTAAGAGGAAGTAGAAACCTTTCACGGCAAGTAGTTTCTTATTTAACATGAAACATATATGAAGTTTCTTATTTAACAATGGTGCTTTGAAGTAAGCTATTTAACACAGTGCTTATTGTACTATGCTTTCATTTCTCAAACATACAGGCATGTCATGTAACAATTTGATTTAATTTCTTCTTGTTATGCGATTTTTATCAAACTTTTCCCGGGGCCCCTTTCGAGTGAACCATCCTTCCTGCATATAAAACTTCCAATAAATAGAACGTTGAAGACTCTTAGCACATAAATCCCAAATTTTTTCTAAACTCCTTCTAACCTGTAATTTCAGATTTGATGAGATTTTGAGAACACTTCGTACGGGATCAGGAATATCAGCATCAAGTATTATTTTAATTTCTGCAAATGTCCTGAATACCTGCTAAAATCTGCTGTTTTATGAAGAAAGTAAAACACTTTCTTCATAAAACAAAAATGAAACTATTACATTTGGAAATTCTGCTTGCTGTCACGGAATTTAATTAACATTACGAGGTAAAATTTCCTTAGAAATAACAGCTGGAACCAAAAATAGGTAGTGACATTGACACAACTCATCTTTTTGTCATGATATTTAATTGGATGCTGGAATAAATTGTGCAGCTTTTCTCTCCGCATCTCATTAACAAGGCAGCTGCATAACTGCTGTTCATTTCTCTTTCGTCGCATTTCTGAGCCGTTTTACATTACTCAGCTTTCCTAAACAGTTTCATAATTCTTCTCGTTGTACTTTTTGTGATTACTCAGCTTTCGGAAATGTTTATTTTGTGAAGTGTAAATCACAGGTGCTCAACCGTTCAGTTTGTCAGCGAGAGGAAGCTGACGTACAGCTAACTGGAAACGCATTGAAACCGCAAGGTTTCGCCTAATAATGAGCTTGCTCTAACTATTCAAAGTTTAATTTTCTGTATGATATGTTATAATTATTTATTCAAATAAGTTTTCTAACAAACAAGAGTGGAACAGTTATTCAATAATAAAATATTTTCCGAATAAAAGTATAAAATTAATTTTCCTAATTCAATTTCCGTTTTCTTTTTTCTGTAGGAAAAATAAACATAATAACATTTTCCTGAATAAAAATAATAAAAATCCATTTATCCGTGCCCCTTTTGAAACGAAGTATAAAATATTGGGAAAGCATTTCGTATTTAAACATTCATATATCAAATGCGCGTTATTATGACAATATTTCAAAACGTTGTATTAAATGTTATGCTATTAGGATATTATTCCAAACATATTGTTGAAGGAATTTGTGTAATACATTTTATTTTGCAGTTGTGTTTGATCTACAGCGAACAAAATCATACAATTGTAATGTACACAATGAGCTGCCTTTCTAAAGGTTGCATTGTTATAAATGACAAATATGTTGCATTTCATTCTCTAGAGAGATTCACTGAAACATTTTCTTCATCACATACTTCAATGAATTCCTTGACTGATCATGTTGACAGACTTTCAGCAGTTTTATTGCTGTCATTTTCATTGTCATCCCAGAATTGAAAGTTTCTGTCGATATCTTTTAATTCTTCATTCATCAGCATTCTAATTTAAACAAGGGCTCAAATGTGGCTTCTTTAACTACTTATTTCTTATTCAGAATTCACATGGAATGCAGTCTCTTTAGGAAAGTAAAATTTCCAACTGGCTACCTGTTTGCGGGGTAACACACAAATTGGTATATTGAAGGTAAAACAATCTTTCTGACACACAATATAATCTAGAAATGATCATCCGATTTCAAATTTTTATAGATTTAAAACCTAATAAAAACGAATTTTGAGCAGAGAAAGCTTTTTGCTTGCACGCTGTTCAACGGTCAGAATAGACCAGATGGTTTGGCTTTAAAACAGCTGGTCTCCCAGGCCTCGAGATTCCCTACGACTCCTTTTTCTTGCAGACATGAGTAAAAACCTTACGAAATTCACAAGCTTTACCAGACTAGAAGCCTAATGAACACACAAACACAAGTCCTCAGTTAGTCCTTTTATAAGGTATTTCTCCCGCCTTCTTAGCATGCCTTCGTAGTGTAGTGATCAGCACGCTGAGCGCGTATTCCAGAGGTCCATGGTTCGATTCCTGAAGAGGGCGTTGCTCATTTTTCATGTCTCCTGCTTCCAAAAAAAAATCCTAACATCTGTACAGTGGCGCGCGAACTAAAAGATGGTGAATGATGATTCTTCACCACCAGGATTTGGCGATGGTGTTCCCTAAATCTCCAGTCGCCCTTTAAAAGGGGGAGTATTTAAGGTATTTCTCCCGCCTTCTTAGCGTGCCTTCGGGGTGTAGTGGTCAGCACGCTCGACGCTTATTCGAGAGGTCCGTGGTTTGAGTCCCGGCGAGGGCGTTGCTCATTTTTCACATCTCCTGCTTTAAAATAACTTAATGTCTCTACATTGGCGCCCGAACTAAAAGAGTGATTAATGATGATTCTCCACACTCAGGATTTGGCGATTGGTTCCCCTAAAAACTCCAGTCGTCATCTAAAAGGGGGAGTAGATAAGGTATTTCTACCGTCTTCTTAGCATGCCTTCGTAGTAGAGTGGTCAACACGCTGGGCGCGTATGCCAGAGGTCCGTGGTTCGATTTCCGACGAAGGCGTTGCTCATTTTTCCTCACTCCTGTTTAAAAAAAGTAATCTAATGACTACACAACCTTAATGAAGTTAACACATTTTAATAACTTTATAAACAATTTCCTTTGATAGATTGGAACAACATTTCTGTTTTTAGGGAGTTTTATATCATCTTGACATCATACGTGAAACTAAAGGATTTCGTGTGGAATATTTGCAAATAAAACTTAGATATTCCCATTTAAAATGAGTAAAAAAGCAACTCTAGTTTGGCATAGATTTTGAATAAAACACTTTCCATTTCGAGGGAGATCAGACACAGGTCTCTCTTCATCAGAGCAAAAAAGTATTTTTCTCCTTTTCTAATTAGACATTTTCATTTTATGTTCATGTACTGCTTATCACTTTTGTGGGATGAATTTTTTAAATTTCAAATTGGCTAAATCTTTCTGAATTACTTGGTATTTTTGGCAATAATTTCAAAAATCGCATCAGTTTTACTCTATTAGATTTAGAGGTAGAAGATGTATATGCTGTCTGAAATAAATATAAAATAATCTAAAGAATATATAAAATCAAATTCTAATTTCAATTTGTAATTGAGACCTTTAAATTTACTTTTTAATTTGGTTGTCTTTCCTCTTTATTCCGAAAATCCCCAAAATCGTAATGTTTAAAATAGTAACAATCCTAAAAATAACAACAGGCTAATAAAAAATTTACCTGAATTACCTAGCTTCAGAATTAATACTTGACCTAAGATTCTTATATAACACTCATGGCACATGTGCATACATACCGCAAAAGCTTTTTGGTCAATAATAATATTAAAATTTGAAAACCAAAATCTAGATTAACTAATAGAATAAAATAAAGCCTTAATTCTATTACTTTTAACCTAAACTTTTAACCTTTTAACATAATGGAAGCATTTTTTCTCAGCATCTGTATCTCGCTAACAGGCTTTTTGTTACTCTCCTTTCTTACTTCAGTATACTGGAAAGGTTGTTTGACCAGTGGAGTAGCCATTATAACTGGCGCCCGGGGCAAAGTAACTTTTTGGCGCCCCCCCCGGAAAAAACACAGCGATATGATGAAAATCTTGTTTGGAGACCACCATTTGGCGCCCCTCTGCGAGCGGCGCCCTGGCATCATACACCCCTTTGCCCCCCTCTCGCTACGCCACTGTATTTGACACACATTTTCTATGTTTTTGAAAGATCCTTTATTTATATAAAGAACAATGATTAGTCAATAGTATATTGCCCGTTTTATTCGATAACTTTGCTTTCTTTTAATGAGCTTTCTTTTGTGAGCTTCGCAATTCCCCGTTCACAAAAGAACTCAGTTTTATCGGCGAAAATCTGAACAAAGTGTTGATTTACGGTCTCATCTTAGCTGAATGTTGGACTACGAAATAAATTTTGAAGAGAGCGAAACAAGGAAAAAATCTGAGGGCACAAGAGCAGGTGAGTAGGGCGTGTGTGGGAGCAACTTTCAAATTCTAATAATATTTGTCAGGTGATCAAACTTGTGTGTGGTCTCGCGTTATCAGGTAGGAATGCAGTTCTCATATGAGCTTTGCTCTGGAAATTTCTGGAAGAGAGATTTGTTGAAGTTGTCCAATTGGCAACAGCGCACAGTCGAACTGATTTGTTGGCTTCTTGGTAGGAGCTCAGAAATAAGACGATTCATAAGTTTGATCACTGACAAAAATTATTGGAGTATGAATGAAAAGCATTACTACGCGCATCATACTCACCCGATCTTATGCCCTTTCACTTGCTTCGCTCTTCAAAATTTCTTTCGTTGTATAACATACAATTCAGATGCGGCTGTAAATCAGCATCTTGTTCAGTTTTACGCTGATGCTAGATTCTTTTGTGAATGAGAAATTTCGAAGCTCATTAAAAGAAAGCAAAAGGTTATCAAGCAGAACTCTGAATATACTATTGGCTGATCATTATTCTTTTTATAAATAAAGGACCTTTGAAGAATGTAGAAAAATTGCGGACTTTTCAGACAACCTAATAACATAACGGCTTCTTATTTACACATATTGCAAAAGTGTTTAACATTTCAGCTGCAAGATAGAGGAATAATGAATCGTGGTGCGCTCAGCAGAAGGGGTTTCCAGCTTCTGTAGCTCTTCATGTGTATAATTTTCTTAATGAACTACTTTCAGGATTTTGAGTATTTCTCTAACAATGAAATAGCCTCCAGGAATCCCAAACCTTTCAATATCAGACAAATCACTTTGGAGAATAATCAGATCAGACTAATCTCATGATCAGTACAGGACATCCGAAGAATTGCGCTAAAATGTGGAAGAAGCCTTTCGAAAGTTAAGGTCTCAGATGCTCCGCTACCTATCAAGGAGGACGTGGAACGTCATTCATTTGTGTATGCAACAAGGAATATACACAGATTCACTGGATATATAGTATGTATAAATACTCAGTTACGCTTGTAACGTATATTTTAATTTTATAACAGTTATTTTAATTCTGAAACCTTTTCCTTTCAGTTCCTGTTTCCGCTTACAACTCCCTTCCAGAATGAGAATTTAGAATCGCGTTGAATGAAAATGAGTTGAATGAACACTACACATCTTTTACTAAATATATAAACTAAAATTACACTTCCATTACTCTCTGTGTTATACCAAATGTGTTATACCAAAACCATCTGCGTTATCCAGGGATGCGAGGAATTCTTGGACACTCTGTGCATTCATCTGCCAGAAAAACGATCAGGTAGCAGCATTTTCAGGTTCTAAGATGTTTTATGGCTTTCCCATTGCTGAAATATGTACTTTTACTAAATGGCTGTTTTTTTCACTAATAAGCTAGATACCCTTCTAATTTTAAGTTAAAAAAAAAAAAAAAAAAAAAAAAAAAAACCAGATTTTATACCATGTGATTAATTTGCTGATTCTCAGTTAACCGAAAGTTACCGTTGCCAATCCATGGGGCGTAAAAAATGTGTTATTATAATCGCAAATTGAAAATGGCGTTCCATCTTTCATGTGCGAATAATGTTAAATATAAACAACTGAAAATGTTTTCATGCCTCCATCAATATCAACAATACGCATTCTTTTGAACATCGTATAAATTGAATCGTTTTTGCTCACGATTCTTTTTAAGTAACGGCTAAAAAGGTGTTATCCTAAACTATTTTACCTTGAAAGCATGAACTCTGTTGAATAATTCATTTACTGTTGAACACGAAATCAAGTTCAAACCAATTAATCGCAAAATCGCGCTCGTTAGAATCTTTTCACTTATTTGCACAGAACCGTTTTGAGTATAAAATTTGCGAAGCGTTAAGGTATTTCTGATTTCATTTCTATTTTGTTTCTTTCAACACCCATTAAGCAATATTTGTTGCTCGTGGGAGTAAAAAAAAAAAATAAAGCTTAATGTCATTTTAGGACGTGTTCATGACACAACAACCTTGGCGTGCGTTCAAGTGGAGAAAATATGAGGGTGAGAATAGTTGCCACTTTAGGTGAAGAAAAAAACCTTACTTTTCTTCTTTTCTAAGATAACTGATTCGGCATTTCAGACAAGCACGAAACTAAGAAATGCGGAAGATACATTGAACCTGCACTCTTTTATTATTCTAAACAAATCAACATTTTTGTGCTGCCACCCGGAAAAAATTAATATTGTAGCATCCTTTTTAACTAACACAGAGAGGCCGAAAATTCAATGCAATGTTATAGTTTGGATTTATATTCAAAATTAAAAATTATTTTGATACACCTGTAAAGGAGGAAAGTGAAATAACATGACTATTTTGAAAACCAGTATAATTCGCAGATATATTCTAACTAATTTATTATAGAAATGCATTTATGCTCATGAATCACGTCTTTAAGAGTTAATTCTTCAGCGTTGTCCTTTCAGTAACCTCTCAATGTTTCTACGAGATAACGCGTAGTATCTATGCAGGTGGACTGTTGACATATCAGTGCTAAAAAAAAAAAGCTTTGAAAGTGTTGCAAGTTCATCGAACATTGAAAGATTCTAATAAAATAAACAAAAATTTAATTCTTTGTTTTGATATTGATTTTAGTCTTGATAATTATATAACAATCAGTTCAAAAGTGATCTGTGCTTCCTGTTTTTTAGATTGGTACTTGAAAAAATATGAGAAATTGCTTGAAAAGAACTCAAAATTTTCGATGAGTGAATTTTATTTTTAAATTTTGTGGGTGACATTTTATGGCATCATAACGATAATTTACGGCTGGAAATACTTATCATACTACCTGAAAAATGTTAGCTTAGTTCAAGAAAAGAGCATGTTTTTCTCAAGGAAACTATTCCGGTATTTTTTCCTGAGGAAAAAAGGGTAACTGAAGTTCTACGTGAAATTTACTATTATATTAAATAAACCGCATTTTGTATTAAACTGTACACAGTCAGTGGTATATTTCTGATAAATTCATTTTAGGATTATTTTGCTTTAATTATAATTTCACATTTTGAGATGAACACTGTTTGCCTATCATCATTACACACTTGTTAAGTAATTAGCACGGGTAATTTGAAATGCAGTGTATAAACTGAATATACGTTTGAAACATTATGTTTTGAAAATTTTAATTCAGTTTAGGTAGAGAGTTTGTTATTCTTTGGCACCAAGTCCAAACTCCGTGTAGACCTACAGCAAATCATCACTGTATTTGAAAAGATCCAGTAAATTTTTAAGAATGTTTAACGAACGTTTTTATTAACTCAGAACCAGAATATAAATGCTCGTCTCTTTCTAGACAGAATCAGCCAAACACTCGTGGCGATTTAACTTAAAGTAACAGTCAATTTCAAGATTTAAGTCTAGTAGCCAAAGGCTACAAAATTAATCGGCTCAAACTTCTCACCGATGTAGCAGTTTAAATGTCGACTACTAAATGCAAAATCGAAGAGTGCAATTTTATCTGAGCTATTAAGAAACCTAGTCATGTGGACTCGAGAGGCAAAAAGACGCCCTGTCTTACAATCCAAAAGTCTGAGCTTAAATATTCTGAAACTAACTTTGCATTTTGATAGAGAAATGGAAAGGAGAGGTGAAACTAAACATATAAATCATAATAACTGGTTAGATTAACTTAATTCTGAGTTTTGATGCAAAGAATAGCCAAAAATATTAGAGATTTTTTTTCAAAGATTGACGCTCAAATGGTATGGTGGCTAGCGTCGTCGACTGCCTTACCCGAGGGACCAGTCTCGAATGCCGGAGAAGGCACAGATGTTTGTAAATGTATAGTGTCCTTACGGCATGGCTGACTATAAGTCAGACAAGTGAGCATTAGTCGACAACAACTATTCAGAGATAAAACTTTCATAGAATTTTTTAGTTTTATGTTAGAATAAAACTACAATGCAATCGTGAGATTGAATTTCTAGGAAACTGGCATAGCTCAAAAAGAAATGCTGATAGCAAGCAAAGTCTGATTGTAATCATTTCGCTCCAAGAACCAGGAAGCTCTCTATAATTACTTATGTTATTTCGATGAAATCATTTTTATCTTATTCCTTTCTTTTGAAAAATTTATATTTAAATATAAAAATTTGAAATATAACAAGCACATACAGATGCACAAATATTAAAAATATTATTCAAGCGTTTAACCTTCCTGGCCCTTAAATATTCTAGTTGACAAGAAAACATTCCAATTCATATAACATATTAAAATTTCTCGATTTTATTTTCGCATATTCTCTTACAAGGTCGGTAATAAACCTGCAAAACGCTTTTAGTTCAGCAAAACTGATACTCGTTCTCCATTATGCTCATCTTCCATTACTCGGATGACTAAGTTACTAAATCTCTTTGTCCTCTCGAAAAAGTGTTATTGTTCTTAGTTTCTGATAAAAATATTGTCCATTTTAGACGCTATTATTAGTTGACAGTGCAACAGATCTTTCACTTATCATCTATATTATAACGTTATTCAGTGCAGCGTAAGATAATCATTCAAAACGGCATTCATCTAGATTTCTTACAATATGCTGGAATAAGTATTACTTTTTTTCATGAGGCGTCATAAATAAACTCGCATATGTAATAAGATGACTTGGAATAACCTGCAACGAATTGATGATGAAGCTCTGCGTTATAGTCCTAAGAAGACTTTACTTGCATAGTTAGAAAGATGACACTCGAAGGAGAGACTTGGACGAATTGAATATAATTTTTTATGCTCTATACGAGTCAATTATAGTCACACGTGATCATAGGAACACATTATACTTTCCGCCACAGATAAACATAGGCACAATACGCACCTCACAGGTTTATACAGAGTATCGCATTTTATATAACGGAGTTGTTAGCAACACATAAAAGGAAAGAAAGCGAAGCTGCATCTTCACTGCGAGAGCGTTGAAGCTAAAGTTCGCAATTATCCAGTATGGAAGCTCAACAAGAGAAGGTTTTGGTTTAGGTTAAAAAGGTTTCAGTTTTCAGAATTTTGAGTTCAAGTTTTGAATGAGTTACGTCATCAGCGTTACGCAAACCGTATGACGTAGATTAATGTAGAAATGAAGCTGTTCAGAAAAGTTATTACCACTTTTAGAATACAGAGGAAATACCCAAATTAAAAATGGGGAATTAAAAGACTATTGCTAAATTAAATTACAAAGCTGATTTACATATTTTTTATTTTACATACTCCATATTTTTATCTTACATATATATAGAACCAAATGAGATAGATGTTATGGATAGAACTAAATAGATAGACCCAAATGAACTTATAACACCAATGAACATATAACATTCAATATAAGTCGATTGCAAAATTTATATTTCTTGTGTACACTATTTTTTGCATTCAAAATTAAAAATTATGTTTATGATGAAATTTTGTAGTGTAATACGATTTGCCTGACTCTAAAGATTTGATTTTGTACGAATGATAATGCTGCTGTGTTCAAAGGTTCGTGGGAAGGTCATGCCACTTGGGCGCAAATTGCAGCAGTCGAATTTGGCTGACAAAGAAAGTCAATATAATCTCTACAAGAGAAGTGTACGAAATGGCACTGAACGGAATAGTTCTTAATATAATGCGAATGGAATTAGAATGTCTCTGGATCGTTTGACTCAATGTCGTATTCTGAATAAAGGACAATGATAAACAAGGATTTCCAGCAAAGAAATTTAAGTTTCTTTGATTAGAAACAGATGCTTGTCATGAAGTAATCATCTTATTCATCAAACGTTTTCACCTTTGACCCCACTTTTCTCTGTTATCAAAAAATTTGAAATGTTTCAGATTTTAAATTACGTCCAAAGGGGCGTTTTTTAACATTTTGTGCGTTACCTTTCTTTATTAAATATCATGTTCCTCGCACTTAAACCATAAGATCCAGTGCAACAGCAATATCGCAAAATAGTTTTAAAACGAGCATATCTTTAGAATTTCCGATACAGAGACTCACGCGCTGGAGATAAAAATGTTTTTTTCTGCACAACGTTGCCACTGCTCGCTTTGAAATCCTTGAGTTTTGTTAATCAAAAATTCGTCAAAGTTTTAAAAAATAAGAAATCGATCATAAAACAAATTTCAAATTTCAAATTTGGTCTTCCAAATGCTCATATTCGTTGGAGGATTACGTTATTCAAAATTCGATGACTCTATGTACCGTTGTTTTATCACAATACGAGAAATATACATACATTTATGCAGATTTTTCATTATTTAATTTCTTCAAATATAATGCAGGACTCTAACATTTTGTGGCAACAGTTTGAAAAGTGAACCGACATTTATGAGTCCGACGCAAAATGCCAAAACGAAACTAATAGTCCTTCGGGATTCAAATCCCTTTGGACTAAAAATAGCATGCTTTCAGGAAGTTAGAAATAATGGAATAAGTGTGCATATATCGACAGATGTTCATTCGAAGCTGATTAGGTAATAACATTTTATAGTTCAATCAGAAATTCCTTATAAACATTTTACGGGAACTTTTCAAAGTAGAGGTATATGTTTTTAATATATTGATATTTTGCTGCTGATAAAAGTTTTCAGAAAGAAATGCAGGAAAAACGGCGGAGCATTTAAATTTAATATTCTTTTAGAGTCGAATTTTAATTTTATTCAGTCATAAAAATTTAGTTTCATAAACTGAGAACAGTAGATATCATTTTTATCAAAGGAAAGAAGAGAAATATTTAAGTTTTCATATGTTTTAGTTACTTAATTATTTTTTTTTTATTTTGAAAATCTAATATGAATGTTTCTTTTTTTTTTTTTATAGTAAGACTGTAATAATAAGTTTCAGATCAAAGTTATTTTAAAACTTTTATTTTGAAAGGGAAATAGGATTTTTATCTTTTCATTCATATTGTACTTTGCCGGAAAAGCTTACTTATCCCTGAGGAGAAGATTATACTACGAATAACGCAATCATTTAAAATTTTTATTCTTAAATTTTGCTGCCCTCTTATCGTATAAAAATTATCTGCATAATGCCTTGCAAAAGTACAAAATGCCATTTAGAGTTTCAAACATTTAGAGTTTCATCTAGAGTTATGACTTTGAATTTGCTTCAGTAATATTAAATTACCAATACAGCTAATGTGCACAAATTTGAATCTAATGTGAAAAAAAAAATTCGGATAGAATGATGTGGTTATCTGACTAAAACCTAATACTCTTGTGAATTTTGGAGTGAATCACACGTAAAATTTCAGGCAAAGGTTCACCACAGTATTTTGAAATGAAATATCCAACTCTAAAGCGTAATTTTATATCTAAATAAAAATATATCATCTTTTGTTTTAATTTTTTTCGGTGACCTTAAAAGCCTCATTTGCTGTGAAACTGAACATCATTCTTTACATCAAACAGCTTGAAGCATATACAGAAATTGCCTACTATTTGTAGTGTTAGTGTATTTATTTATTAAATACAAATGTTTGATAACAAATCTAACACAAAAGCCAAATATTGCGTTTAAGAAATTAGCTGTAAGGGATAGATAAGGAAACGATAAAACCAAGGTTTAATGCGCAGGAACCCATGTGTTTACAAACTAAAAATTTCTCAACTCCTTAACTTAAAGGAAAAGTTTCTTTTACTCAGGGAGGAACTCTGTGTCAGTTATTTCAGTCAAGGGCAGTGATTGAAAGACTTTTTTAGCCAAAGGGCGTTAACCCAGAAGGGCTATTCATTTCGCTTTGCATTTTGCGTTAGTTCACCATAAATGTCGGTTCACTTTTCAAATTGTTGTCACCCAATATTAGACCGCTGGGTTATATTTAAAGAAATTAAATAATGAAGAATCTGTATAAATGTATCTATGTTTCTCGCACTGTGGTAAAACAACGGTACCTAGAGCCATCCAAATTGGAATAACGTAATCTCCCACTGAATATGGGCATCTGGAAGCCCTACTTTGGAATTTGAAATTTGTTTTGTTATCAGTTTCATACTTTGTAACACCTTAACAAATTTTGGATTAACAAACCCAACGATTTCAAAGCGAGCAATGGCAATACTGTACAAAAAGAAACAACATTTTTATCTACAGCGCGCGAGACTGTGTATCGGAAATTCTAAAGATATGCTCATTTTAAAATTATTTTGCGATATTGCTGCTGAATTGAATTTTAGGGTTATTAAGAACATATTTAATAAATAAATGTAACACACGAAACGTTAAAAAACGCCCTTTTGTGCTTAATGTAAAATCTGAAATCTTTCAGATTTTTTTTTTTTTTTTCTTTTTTTTAATCTCTGTGGGCTTTAAATTGTCGAATTAATTGTCTTGGTGCCTCGTCCTTAGGTTAAATTGTTTGTATTATGACAAGTCATACAAACGTTGTCCATTTAGCCCTCTCTTCAGGGCATTTTTAAAAACATTGCCTCTTATCTACGCTACATATGGAAAAAACATAAAAATTCCCATGCAGCCAGAATAGAATTTGGCTATTATGAATAACAAATTTTCAAATTCTTATTAACTTAAAGGGAAATGTGATTTTAAGTAAAAAGCAAAGGTTGAACATTAAAATGTTTTTATTTGGGTCAGGAAAACATTGGACTCGAAATATTAGAGAGAAAAGTCCAGATACTTGATAATTTGATCAAAATTTTGCAGGCTTTTTCTCTCAAACGTCGCATGTACATTTTATAAAAAAATGATAGTATGTAAAATGATAGAAATTAAAAAGAATTCAAGAAATTTCGCCAACATAATTAAATTATTAAATAGTATTGATAAAACCTGCTATCCAGTGACGAAAAGTCCTACACATTTGCAAAAGATAATTTAACCTGAATATTTCACTGATAAATTTATTTAGTTCTCTAATGATAATTTTGCTGTTTCTAGAAAGTTTATTACGTTATTATTTAATTTGTAACTAAGTATAAGATTAAGAAGCTGGGTAAAATCCATTTTATTGATAATTTAGTATACTTTCTATACTGTGAGATAGAAATTTGTTTTACTTGTAATCAAATGGTATTTATATTTGTTGTTTAACCAGCGACCAACGATTAATCATAAAATTTGGCTGTATTTATCGCCAAACGATATAGTAAACACAAAACCATAATCAGAATAATAAATAAGAATAAGTTAAAAATTGTGAAATAGTTTTTTTCATATGAAATCGTTTCTTCTCTGGGTTAAACTCGAAACCTTTCAGATATGTTTTTTATCTGTGTTAAGTGCACTTGTGTAATATTAACCATGCAAAGAAATTAGCTACTTACATCATTGCTTTTGTAATTATTTTTTCTTTTTTTATTTCCAGTTAAGGAAAAGAATGAAAAACGAAGTAAAAGAGAAAGTGAAAAAAAATGAAAGTAACAAATAAAAAAGGAAATAAACATTAAGTTGTATAAGTTCATTTTGTGTCTTCTTACACACGGTCAATTACATATTTAAAGTATTAAAAAAATTGCAAATTTGATTTTATATAAAATTGATTTTCTTTCATTTTTAATAATGATAAATAAGTATATTTTGCATTACAATTATTAATACAATAATTAAAATTAATAATTAATACAGTGATTACAATTAACAATTTATTAATACAATAATTATAATTAAAAATTTACAATTAACAGGATATTTGATATTCTTGATTGCTTAGATAAAAAACTTGATTTTGAATCATGATTTGATCAATCATTATCAAATCATGATCAATGAAAACTTTCATTGTAGTATTTATGTTACACCGAGAGAAAGGCTTCCACAAAGCTCACACAAAGAATATCTAAGGGATTCTTTGGCTCAAAGACGATCGAACAGAAACTAAACTCATAGTTATTTTACTCTTTTAACCCTTGGGTACGCGCGCTGGGTATCTCATACCCGGGGGCATATTCTTTGTCACTTATCTCCAAACCCCTTTCCTGGAAATGGGAGAAACCTTTTGTAGCTGAATTCAAGGTCAGATTCTTGAAGCTGGGACAAAGCTGGGATGTCCATGGAGTGATTCCTTGAATACTTTTCTAGGAATTGTACCGTTTGGGTATGTGACATCCGCGCGCCTTCTTGCGTCTCTCAGATTTATTACCCTCACTTCCTTAGGTAGTCAGCATGGAGAGGCATCTAAGCTATGATAAATAAATGGAAACAGAGAAGCAATTCGCGGGATCTATATGAGAAATATGCTAGAAACCATTTCAACAGATGATGAATCATTTAGCGAAGAGGAGGGAGAGTTAATAGATGAAGAATACAACAGCAATCATAATTCATCAACAGACACTGAATAAGATAGTGATTTTTTCTCGATTTTAAATGTTGCAGCAATTAATGCACGGATAATCTTACTTTCTACAAAAGAACCACCAACTCAGTTTAGAAACAGGCGTTCTGTTCTCAAATCATTAGGACTCAAGTTAGTGGAAGATTACTCAAATCAACGGCGGCAGCAAATCATGCTCCCTTTGAAACTAAAAGAAAAAATAATTTCAGGAGATTGCAAGATGGGATCACTATCTAAAAAGATGAAAAACATTTACAGAAGATGCGCTGAGTGCCCTAAGAACAAGGACAGAAAGACAAGGTTTCTGTGCGAGAAATGTAATATCAGTGTTTGTATGGAGCATATGTGTTCAATCTGCCAGAGATGTGCAAAATAATTGTAAGCTAAGTACTTCATTTATTATATTCTTTAAATTATTCTAAAGGTCATTGTTTTTACGTTAATCGACATTTATATTCGTATTTATACCATTAATTGCTTTCGGGTATACATACCCAGCGCGCCTTCTCGTGTTCGTAATTTTGGCGCACGTGCTCGCGGGATTAAGCAAAGGATTACTTTATATTTCTGAATGTAGTGAACATGAAATTAAAGTAATATTTTAAGTTTATTGAAGTAAGCTGATGGTTTATATTACATATCGGATTTGTCAGTCTACCAGTGGTTGGTTGAGCGGAAGAAATCACTAAGTACTGATACCTCGTGTTGTATATCATACAATTAGTTTAAGTGAACGATTAGTTTAAGTTATTTGAATATGGCAAAGCACATTAGGATTAACTGCCTTAGGAGAGAGATACTTTCATGGAGGATTTTCTAAGGGAAATTGACTCATATTCACGTTACACATGGGGAAAACCAACCATGAAGCGAGCCTGAGTTGGAAACTGGGTCGAACTACCAGTATCAGCGATCTTAATCACTCGCTCACTGATAAGGACCAGATTTACTACGTGGGGATATCATAATTATGTCCTCATGGAAAAGAGTTAGTCTACTTCATTAACTTCTTCACACTTCTATCGTTACACAGGGGCATCCCTATTAATATAGACAGTTCTTGAGTAATAAAATATATAACCTAATTTTGCCTGTTATTATTATCTTTACAATTTAAGTTTCAAGCATCTTCCTTCTTAATATGTAAAATAAAAGTAATATATATACGAGTAAAACAAATAGTGAGTAGAAAAGCAATGGCCATTTGAAGAACTAACATAATTTTCAGACACGTGCTTTACAAATACAACTTTTCTTCCAGAAAAGTTTTAAATATTTTCTTTCCCATGTAATAACTATGATAAAAGACTTATATTTTGTAGATAATTGTCAGTTTTGTTTCTGGAATCAATTATTTTTCATCTTATTTTATCTTCCTTATACATAATGATTAATGAGGTAGTTAAAATTGGTAAAGGAAGTACTGATTTTTGAATGATTAACTAGAAATAGAAATCACTTTATTTATTACTCATAAATTTTATAAATATTCTCTCGCTGAACCAATTTCATTCTGATCTCACATTTCTAAGTGTAAAACTGAAAAATTATTGAATAAAAGTACAGTATTTCTCTATAAATATGTCCTTTCAAAAGATAAAAATTATCTCACCTAATTTCTGTTAATTATACAGTTATAATGCCTCTCATCAATTATATTAATCATAATTAGTAAGTTCTAATTTTAGCTATATTATGTTTATAAATTTTCTGTTCAGTATTTTTATGTTTATCACTTTTCCTCCAAACACAAAAGCTTCTGTCTTCTAAAACAACAAACTGTAACAGTAAATGTACACGTATCAAAGATTTTAGAGTCTTAATTTAAGGAATAAAAACTTTAAAATCACAAAAAATACAAAAAAATCCCACGACAATCAATCAGTATTTCAGGATATACACACACACGTACTGAAAATAGCAATTTTAGCTCATTCACCCGTAATGTTCGGAAATAAAAAAGCACTTTTCAGCAACTCAGCGTGACCACATAATATACCAGGAAATTACATATCCGATGAAATTTTTGTTTCGTTCTTTTCTTAGATTCCGTGTACGAGATTTGTCGATGGTGATCATCTCGTCAATATTGAATGTCTTCAGCTGGTCTACCGATACGCTCGTTTCACCGGACGTATCTATTTTGGGCAATTTCGAAGTCATAATATTTGTCTGCCAGGAAGAACGTGCCTAGTTTTAGAAAGCTTTATGCAAAGGAAAATATTTGTACCTTTGTCAGTGATATCTAAGTAAAGATAGAACACACATGCCAAATAGCTTTCTATTCTAGAATTTCAGAACTGGTGTTGTGGTATGTACTTATAAATTATATTCGTATCAGAATATATATATTATTTAAAGTACCTAAATGATGTGAATTTTCCTGTATATATACGAGGCATATGATAATAGACGACATGTTTGCGCAAGACACCCATTAACCTTTTAAGCATGGCCGGAATAGAGATAAACATGGCGAACGTACAGATTTCGTATTAGATGACTAGAACTTTGGAAAGCAAAAATAGCTTGATAGTCACATTACTTTACCTTTTCCTACCTACAATTTTTTGGAGATATCTTAAGACATCTCTTCTTGTTTTACACAACACTAAGGACTATAAATGGCCCGCAAATTTTATGTACTCGTCAGGGTATTTCTGAACTTGACTCAGAATAACCGCTATCATATTTCAACGCTCGTCTAATAACCATCAGATTTGAATGGTTATTAGACAAGCGTTCTATAGCACTTCGGATCATTGGAGACTAAATAGAAATGTAAGTAAGACAATACAGATTCTTTGAAGGGGACGTAATCAAATTAAAGTTAGAAATTTAAAGGACTACTGCTAAAGTCAGTAATTTTGAGTTTCATATTGTTTTATCTTAATTTACAAACACACACACACACATACATATATATATATATATATATATATATAAATTGTAGTAAGCTCGCCTAAAGTTACCAAGAGCTGCTGCTCCAAAAGGTTCAACACGTTTTAAAAAAATTAATACATATGAAAATTGGGCTAATTTACCATTGAATGAATATGAAATTGGGCTAATTTACCATTTTCCGCTTACTTTCTATCTTTTTCTGTTTTTTTAATATTTTACATGTCTAATGGTTTGATTTTCATATGTATTAATTTTTTTAAAACGTGTTGAACCTTTTGGAGCAGCAGCTCTTGGTAACTTTTAGGCGAGCTTACTACAATTTTTATATTTAACTTATTTTGCAGCATATTGCGCAAGATGTTTTCTAGACCAAAATTGGTTTTTTAAAAAATTATAATTACTACTTAGCTTGATATATATATATATATATAAATTATGGTCCATGGAAAAAATAAAGTAATGTTATGACTACTAAGCTAGTTGTGCTTTCGAAAATTCAAGTCATCTGATACACAATCTGTATGGCTGCCATGTTTTTTACTGTTTCAGCCATAACTAAGAAGTTAGCGGGTGCCTTCTCTCATAGCGAAATAAATCCTCACGTATGTATACACAAATATATACACACACACACACATATACTTCGTACAAGGAAGTAATAATAACATATGAAAATTTGATACCAAAAGCATAAAACAGAAAGTAAAATGATAAAAAGAAGAGTTAGTTCTTAAACCTTTAACATTTAAGTAACAATTGTTTTGAAATGAAAAAATTAATTCGACATGCACAGTAGCATAAGATTGGTATTAAGCCTAACATGTTCTATATAGTATGTAATGAAATTAGTTTCAGAATAAACATTACGATTAACAACATTTTAAACTGATCGATAATGTAAAAATAATTAGGAAAAAACTAAACTAATAACTAATAACATTAAACCTGATGTAGTGAAAATGAATAATTTATAAAATGAGAAAACATCAAATTACCTGAATTATAAATCCAAATTGCAGCTAGAGTTATCACATGTATGCGGCCAAAAAAAGCTCAGGTGATGTTTCAGTTAGCTTCAGTTCAACGAACGAATAAATAGCATATACAGCGGCTTCCAAAAGTGTTTGTACATGTTTGAAGAATTTGTAGAAAAAGCGCTGTAACTGGGAACTGAG